GTAGATCGAGCGGATCTATGAACACTTGAAAATCTTGAAAATTGACGATCAAAAAAATGCCTTACAAGATGCGCTGTATCCAAAACTTGAAATCAGTTTTTTTTTCTCATGTCCATGAATGTCAAGATGATCAATTTGAGGATGTTTGAGCATCAAAACAACCTCTTCTAGTGAAATTGAGGCGTGCACTAATTTGATTGTTTGGAGCCTCGGCTTTATATAAATTTTTTTCATTGTTATTATGGGTAATATTTAGGGATTGTGTACAATGAGATTTTTTACATTTGATTCAAGGAGGTCACAATTATTTATAACCATCCAATATAAAATCTCATAGCTTGGGTGTGTGATAGAGTCTGAAAAAAATTCGGTTTTGTATAGTCAATGGCATAAATGCAACCATCCAATTTTACAACCAATAGTCAAGATTAATTATGACCGTGTTAGTACTAGAGATAAATGGTCTCATTTATACTTTATCAAATATTTATGCATAATTCCACCTCAATAAGTCTATTTGTCTTACTCATGCCTGATATCAAGTCTACCGATGCTCAACAGTACTTTGATTTTGTACATACATTAGCAATTTGTAATGGGTTATTGATGGTATAAGATTTTAGCCAATGGGCAACTAACTGTCGCGTGCACAACTTGTGCATGGAAAAGTATACACTCTCCTGGTCAGCCTTTCAATCACATATAATCTCGTAGGATTCCAGGCAGTTGTATGATAAGCCACTAGTAGGGAGTTGGATCAATCAAAATCACCAGTCAAATTGTTTGGACTTGATTGAGCACGTATATTATGCTCCATCATGAGCATAGCTTGTTCTATTCCCTCAGTCAGATGACCTACTTGTGAGAAATTTTGATAATCATATGAGTGTTTTAAAAATAAAAATAATAATAAAATTTGATTTTTTTGACATTTAGATGTCACCCTCTAAAAATTAGAAGTTTCTATTAAATCTCAAGACATTTTTTTCAAGTATTTGGACGGTGCAATTAGGAAAAATTTTTTATTGAAATTATTCTATATATTAAAGAGCTTATATCCCTAAAATTTGTGATCCTAAAACTAATACTACTTGGGGTTTTAACCAAGGGAGTAAATGGGCAATATACTCTTGAGGGAGTAGAATATTTTTTGGCTTTAAAAAATAAGAAAAATAAAAATATTAGGAAGAATAGTTTAGAAATATGTAATATACAATAAAAGATCACCAAACTTTTTATTCAGGTTTCTACGAAACCTGGTTTTCACTTTGAGCAAGCTTTTATGCTTTTTCTATTGCATAAAACTTATATACTTCTCCCTATCCAACCGTCCATTTTGGATGGGCAATTGAGATGGCCCTAATCATAATGTCACATCTCTATATTATTTTATTTTCAAATTTTTTGCTAAACTAAAGTTTGGACGTCTACTCCTCTCTTAAAATTGCATCTATAAATAATATTTAAAAATATTTTCAATAAAATAAAATAACCAAAAATTTTCTAAAAACTTCAAAAGGTACTTTTGGTCAAAATATTTATTTTGACATAACTATCCAAAGCAACTATTGACGGGGCCAATCCCGGATAGTTGAGTCAATGGATTACAATTGTGCAATTTCAATGAATGATTGTACCGTCTCTGCACCACTTTCACACGAATTGATTAGGGGTGCTCATAAAATTAAACTCATTGGCCATAGGTGTCCCCTAGGACCACGTATGGATCATTTATCATGTTATATATATTCTGTTTACCTCTAGGTTTCGGTTTTGCATTTATTGTTTAACGAAAATTGTTTGCTATGTTTCCCTGTGGGTGAAATGCAAATGACATCTAAAAGTTTAAGGAGAAATATCGATTGAAGGGTCAAATCAGAAATCACATTTCAAAGTTTTTAAAGGAGAGATACCGATTGAAAGGTCCAATCAGAAATCACATTTCAAAGTTTTTAAGGTGGTTAAATCAGCCCATTTAACGTAGGAATGTTATTTTTTGGTTTCATTAATATCATGTATTTTTTTCAAAAAATGTGTTAAAAAGTAATTCTATTGTCCTTGCTTAAAGACTGGGAATCCTCAACAAATATAAGTATTTTGGTGATTTGGCCGATTGAAGGCCCTAGTGAAATGGTAGTAATAATAGGGAAAGATTTTTATATTTTTTCTAGAACATAAAAGATCTATGCTTCTTCTACTATCTAGGCATCCAATTTTGATCAAGAGAGCCACTCACCCGTTTGATCTTAGATCCGACGTTTCAAAGTATATTATTTTTAGTTTTTTTATACAAATTGTATAAATATGAAATATGAAATTTGATACGTGCGATACTCTCATTGGAGCGCACTAATAAAAAATATTTTAAAAAAACTCGATAAAATATAATGACCAAAATACCACTTGAAACTTTCAGCCCCATATTTTAAGTTCGATTCCTACCTGAACTGCCTTTAAAAAACAAAAACAAAAAAAAAAAACCCACTTAAGGAATTAAATTCACTTGAGAGTTTTGTGTAGATTAGTGTTGAAATGAGTGACTCGACGAGTACTTGGCTAGGGCCGAGTATTGGCAAAGCCAAAAAATATTCAAAATATACAAAAAATTGTTAGAAATATAAAAATATGTTTACAGTAAAATTAAACAATAACACATCGAACATATGTTAAAAAAAAGTAGTGAAAAAATAAAATTTGAAAGAAATCTATTTATGACCAGGGGTATTTTAAAAATAATTTTAAAAAGAGAAAATATAAAAATAAATATTCACGTCCAAAACACTTTCAAATCTATGCTAAAATGATAAAAAAAATATATATATTATGCAAATAATTGTTTTATATTTTGGATTTTTTATACTTTTTTAAAGTTCTTGGGTTTGGATTTCCAACTCAGAGATACTTGAGCACGCAACGGTGACGAGGACAAGGTACAGGGGTGAATCCGAGTTGGCTCGTCCAAGTAATCAAACATCGAACTCTGAACTCCGAAGAGACCGGTGTACTATTTTTGGGCTCTGAATCTGATGGGGGTCGGCTTTAACATATTTTTAAGGAGGTAGTTAATGACGTAAAACTTAAGTAATGATTCTTGAAAATCGTTGAAATAGTGATTTATATGTAATGATTTGACGACTTGATTAAAGGTTGTTTGACCTTTCATTAATATTCTCCTTAACTTTAAACTTTGACGCCATTGATTGAACCTCCAAAACAACAAACATAAGATTTCAAATTTCACATCTTCAAACTCTACCACTAATTGACCATTGAAAATCGAGTGGTGTATTGATTAACCATCCAAAACAAAAATGTAGGGTCTATTACCTACTCACGTGTGGCAGGAGAGAGAGACGGGTCAGGTTTAAAGCAAGGGAAATTTACATCCGCACCAAAATTTTAAACTGTTATAACAAAGGGGAATGTCTATATAGAGCCTAGGCTCTAAACAATCAAATTAGAGCCTACTTCAAAACATTAATTAGAAGAGGTTATTTTGATCCCCGAATATCACAAAATTGATCATCTCGACATTAAGATGCATGGACATGAGAAAAAAATGAATTTCAAGCTTTAGAAATAGTGCATCTTGAAACGTATTTTTCCACCATTAATTTTTAAGATTTTCAATTTTTCATAGATCTGATCGATCTACACTATTTTTTAAGCTTTAGTTTTTATAACTAAAGATGAAAATATAATTTAAGGGTATCACAAAACTTTCCAGCATTGAAACTATATTTCTCAATATTATTTAGAGGTGGGCTCAATTTGATTGTTTAGAGCCTCGGCTCTATACAAACCATACCTTATAACAAAAAAGGGATTCGTTGTACTTAAAAGGGTGTGGTTTCCATAAGGTTGCAACCTTAAACAATCCAATTAAGGCGTACCTTTAAATTTGATCATAACATAT